AAAGCTGAGACTTTGTTTCATATAATAAGTAACCTGCCTTATTTTGTCTATCGATGTCAATATCCTCTTTGCCTCAGGATTTTTCATTGCGTGAAAAAAACGGAGAACATCAACACGACGCGCGAGATTTGGCAGCGTCAACACTGTGCTTTATATTTATTAAAAACCGAAAAAAATTGCTGCCCTTGCGAGATTTTATAATCGCACTGGGAGGGGGGCACTGGCGGGGGGGCCTTTGGAGATACCTGGCCCCAGGGCCTTGCAAGTCATAATCCGTCCCTGCTCCATTGACAGTCCATGCAACTACCACTTTGACACTTCAAAAGAGATCGTAAAACTAATCCATATGAATCGAGCGGTTTAGTCCAAATTTTATGTAGAGACTCGATTAATTTTATGAACGGATATGAATTTAGGCTTTTATTCTCATATAAGATCAGCGAACATAAACAGAAGCTCAACTGTAGACTAAAAAAAATCTTAACCGTATGCGCTTGATGCGTAAGGGCAAACCTCATTGGTTCTCATGGAAGCTCATGTGCTGCGTAACACGAGAATGAACGCAGGTCATCCACGCATGATTGAGATTCAGTTTAACATAACTCATGTGTGCTTTGATGAATGTTTATATGTGAATAAAAGCCTAAATTCAATCTGATGATCTCTATGAACTTTTTGAAGCATAAAAATGATTGTGTGGACTGTCAGTGGAGGGACAGAATTCTCTCACATTTCATTCAAATATCTAAATTTGTGTTTCGAAGATGAACGAAAGTCGTATGGGTTTGGAACGACATGAGGGGGAGTAAATAATGAGAATATTTTTATTTTTGGTTGAACTAAACCATTAACTGCAAAACTGATTTGTATTTTTTCATGTTTGTGATGTCACTGTCAATCTGTTAATATTTCCTACAGCTATTATTTACATGCAAAGAGGCTAACGTCTCTGGTTACTCAACATAACCATGGTTCCCTGAGAGTATGGAACGAGACATTGCTGACGCTTTGGGGAAACTCCTTTCACAGAAAATACTGAAGCCTGTTTGAATCGCACTATTGCAACTGCAATAGCCAATGGCGCTCGCGCACTCGAGCGAGGGGCGGAGTCGATATAGTTTGGTGCCGAGCGCCATTGTCTCAGAATCTTTCTACGAGAGAGAGCATACATGCAAAGACACAGGAGATTTTACACGGCAACTTACGCAATATCTTGTTCTCTACTCTCGGTACCATGGTTACATAAAGTAACCTGAGACGTATAAAATCCCTGCCGTTTAAAAAAAAGACAGTCCCCAAATCAAAAAAAAAGAGTTGAAACTGAAAAGAGATAAACACATGACATAGCAGGTGTGGCATAAGCGGGTAAAAGAGTGCCGAGCGCTCCCTAGGTTGGTCACCGGACCTAGTGGAGACACTCAACCAGTCAGTTCGCAATCAGCCAAGACGGCACAGGGTTGAAGCCACGGCGTAAGACCAGTGAAATGCAATGAGAGGAGAATATGCAACAATAACACATTGGTGCATTCATAACACACGATCAACTCAGACGAGCAGATCACTGACTGAACACAGCCCATATAAACATAATACATAAGCACAACATGGGTAAAAATGATAATATCACACACTTTGCGAGGCAGGCAGCCAACAGCTGGAGCCTCGTGAAAATACCAACGCAGAACACTGCAGTTTGTGCGATTCAATATATTTGTTAAAATAATTTAGGATGTATATAGAAAGCCAGCACATCGCGGGACCGAGCAATGATAAGCCAGTTATCGAGAAAATTTGAAATGCGCATCCCAGTCTCAAGTCTCAAGGGGGAAAGGGCTGCATTCACACACTTTGTGAACATGCATTGGGGCCAGAGCCAGCACAAATGGCAGGAGTTTGAACTCTCAGAAAGCGCAGTAATAAGGAGCTATTTGGATGGGAAAATAAGTGTCCTTTAGGTCACGTGTCGTGCTTGTCCGGAGGCTTGATGGGCCCGCCACGCATGCGGCACATTTCTTGCAGAAACATCTTATCATCTTCTCGCCGGATCGCTGCTTCTGCGTCGTCTACTCGGGTCCACAGCAAAGTAGGCTTCAAAGTGAAGGAGAAAGATTCTGCGGCATTGGCTATTGCAATTGCTGGCTTCAGTTTTTACGGTGTAAGGAGTTTCCCCAAAGCGTCAGCTAGTGACGCAATGTCGCGAGACCTACCTCGAAAGGGAACTGATCACAACAGAGCTTATTTATTAGAGTCCTAAATTTACAGGAGGCAACGAGCAGCGAGTTTCACTCAAGAGAGAGGGTGGAAAATGGCCATACAATAAATTCAGGAGGAACTTCAGGAGGAAATGTGCATGACCTCTTGAAGATTTGTTTGTTCTTGAAACATGGCTGTGCTGCCTTTTATTTGCATCCACTGCGGATCTGAATGCAGTTTAGCAATGTGAATGGACTTGTTTCCTTGGGGAAACAAAAGGAATGAATAGCTGGTATGATTCACAGCATTTTCCAAACAGGCTTTCAAAGTGTCTTAATGCAGATTTTTTATTTGTATTCATTGAACTTTTATGGTAGATGTTAATAAATCTTTTTACATTTTAATTATGTTTAAGTTGGCCGCGCTTTATTTCGATAGTCCCATTTAGACATTCTACTAACTATAACTTTGCAATACGTCAACTAACTCTTTTTACATGTCAACTAACTCTCAAAGTATTAGTAGACTGTTATTTTAGGGTTAGAATAATTTGACTTGTACTTGTCTGTTGTGGGACCATCAAAATAGTGTTCGCCGATGTAAAGCAGACAGTCTACTAGTACTTTAATTACTGTTAGTTGTCGTGTCCTAAGTAGAATGTCTAAAGTTGATTATTGAAATATTGTTACCTTTAGATTTAGTGCTGCCCAACACTTTAGCAGTCCTCTACAGTCCAGTTTAGATGGTTCTAATATTGAGAAATGTAGGCGTCATTCTGGTGCTACACTGATTTTAGCAAGAATTGTGCTCATGGTTGTGAACATCTTCCGTACATTTAGCTTATTGCACAAATTTCCACTAAAAGTTCTCATATTTAAACACCATTTTTGTCTTCTAACAGATTTCTGGTGCATATTTGTCATGAACCTACATCTTTGAAGAAGTAGACTGAAGCTACACAGTCAAGACAAGACCTACTAAGCCCCAGATCTCTTAGTCCAAGAAAAAGTTCATTTTAATTGAGTTGAAATGGAGAAAAGGCATACATTTCAAAGACAGAGCCACGCTGAACAGTGGCTAAGCAGCCGTTCAGAACCATGCAATTCTTGAGAATTCTATGTAATGAAGATACCGTGCAGATTAGTGGTTGAGGTAATGATCAACTTTAGTACAGTAGAAACAGACTGTGGTCCAGCCTGAGACCATGAGTTAAGGCCACATTTAGGTGCAAAATCAAGACTCCTAACTATGCCAAAAGGACACAGTATTCTTTAGTTGTGATCAACTATTCTTCAAGCCTATAAAGCAACAGAACTCATTTTTACTATTATTTCGCTAACTGTTCACTACTTTAGTGACATATATTTTGACTGGCTGGTGGCCATACAAATGCAGGTGGGTTCGCCTATTGACGGCAAATGTTAATGTAATGATATTCTTTTTGTATTTAGGTTTCTCATGTTTTAATATGATCCAGGCTTTGATATATAGGTCAATGTGATGTTTTATATAACCAGAATTCACTATTTTAGTGTAGGTGCATTCTCTTAATGAGTAACTGGCATTTAATAGTGTTCCTTTAATTGTACATTTAAAAAATGCTAACTTAAATAGCAAAAGCTGCATAGCATGATACAATCAGTTAAACAAAGCATTGATACCATATAAAATAGACAATAAACAAAAATACTGACAGACCTAAAATGATACAAAACCATACTTAAGTATGGTAAAAAAAAAATAATAGTACAATTGAATACATCAAAATATGTTTAAATGAGCAACTTAAAGACGTTTGCCTGCTTACAGTGTTGCTGGAGCATCTTTGGACAACTTTAAAGATAGTCTGTATTTGAAATCTACAGTAAACATTCTAGTTTAGTTTAAGACTTTTACAGGTATTTAACTCAACACCTGGTTTCTTAATTTGTGTAAAGTGCTGAGTTCAGTTATCAGTGTATTGACGTTAGTGAACCAAGCGAACTCTGACGGACAGCAAATAATTATAAATGGAAAAGAAATCTTACGTAAGTGTCCTAACAGATTAGTTAATCACATTAACTATGTCTATGAATATGTTCTACTAACATTTCACAACCACAAAATATCATGATTTTAAGCTTAACATCTGAAAAGTGCTATTTTTCTTTCAAATTTCACTTGTTTTGATTCGTCTAAATATGTTTTGGAGCTATTCCTGACTGATATCATTTCTTCAGTTTTTAGGTTCAATTCTGTTTAACCCTTCTGTGATTGGTCCATATCTCTCTTTTCAAAAGCCAGACAATGTCCTTTTAGTTCAAAGAACAGATCACAAGGGAAATACCACCATCAAATCTAGACATGACAGATTAATGTTATGGCTGACTCTGAGCTTTATCCAATTAGATTGGAGGATAAAAATAAATGTAGAACTGTGGTAGAAAACAAGGGTGGAGTCCATGTAGGTGTTTTCTGCTGCCCTTTTTCAAACAGCATGTAATTACAGCGGTCACAGGTTGCCCGCATTATGAAGCCACAATGCGTGAGATTAATGATTATTGAGGGGTTGAGTTTCTCAAACGTAGGATGAAGGATTCACCCTAATCTGCTGCAATACCTCGTCCTCATATCTGAACAACAGGACATGAACAACAGGACACGTTATTATGTTATTATGATTTGCACATGAGTATTTCTGAGCAGAGCCAAAGTTAAACCATTAATCAAATCAAATGTTCAGTTTGTGACCTATGTAATCACATTACCATTACAGCTAAGCTGTGATCATCCCAGATACCTTGTTTGCTTATTTAAACACGATATCATGGTAGAACAATACATTTACTATAGTAAATACACCTGTTGCAAATTAAAAGTAAGTCAAATTCTTGATCTTACGTACATTAATGTTTACATAATATTTTACATAGTAATGTTGCGGTATAGAGCATAAAACGTGGATAAAAAAAGTATTCAGTGAATAAATACAAACTTGTTACATAGACATTATTAATCTTCTATAGTATGGCTGGTTAATCTTATTTTTATATCCTTTTTGTACTTAATGTGTCCATACAGTATGTCACTCTGAGGGCCATGTTTTTCTAGGACTGGCTTTAGGTGATACCTAAACAAAGAACAAACACAAAAGTTATGTTAGTTACCACAATGCACCACAATGGTAACCTTCATATTTCTCACCAGAATTATACAATTTGAATTATTACATTTTAAATGAATGTACTAATTTTTCAGCACATCCAATTTTAATAGTACATGAAATCTGAATGCACACTATTTACATTCTGAAATGACTATCCTTTTAATCTGATGTCAATTAGGTTGCATGGACTGTTGGGTAATGTTAACCAGTAATCAAACAACTATTTAGGCATTGCTTCAACAAACTCCCATTCACATCTGGCTCCATTTTGGTGTGTAGCATTCATGACACAATCAATCCCAAACTGCTCAAATCAAGTCTCGCCCTACATTTTACTGAATTAATATCTTTATTTTACTTACATCACTTTAACAAGTTTTGTAAAGTGACCATTAAAAGTAATTAAACTGCTTGTTCTACTTAACATAAATGGTCAGTGGGAGAGGACTTACTTCCGCCTGCGTTTTAGAGTAGTTCATGTGGGCATACAGTAGAACTGCAATGTCATTGTGGGATGCCTCCAGGGCAATGGAGAGAGCATTACTGCCATCCTAAAGGAAAGGGCATACATTTAACCATAATGCATTATTGGGTAGAATGCTTTAACACTGGATACCAGGACCCACAACATTAAGGGTGTGACTTATTCTGTGACATAATTTTCTGGAAAACATACAGTAAAATATCCTACTATAACGGAACAAGCGACTGCACTGGATTTCAAACATACACAATTACTTTGGGCCCCACATACTGTATATGGCCAACAGGAAATGACTTTAGAACAAAAAAATCAAAATCTTAAAATACACACCATCAATCTTCTTCTTATGGAAGCTTGTTTCCGCCACAGAATAAAAAATGACAAAAAGTCATTTTTAGCAAAGTACAGTAAAGACTTTTTATCTCACAATTCTGACTTTTTTCTCACAATTTGATATAAAGTCACAATTGCGTGTTTTAAAGTCAGAATTGCGTGGTATAAAGTCGCAATTGCGTGTTATAAAGGTCAGGGGTCTCATTTATAAAACTGTGCGTAGGATCCTTACTAAAAGTGTACGTGCGTCCGAAAGCCAAAAATGGCATACGCAAACAAATATTCTGACTTATAAAACCGTGCGTACGCCAGAACCTGCGCAGAATTCACTTTATAAATCCCAGTCAGCGGAAGATTGTGCGCACATGCGTCTCCTCCCGGAAATAACCATATGTGGAGCTTACAACACCTAGTTTTACTATGCATATCCTCATCTGCATATCATTTGCATATGATTATTCATCCACGTGATAACATGTTTAACGGTACAAGACATTTGGAAAATATGAAATACGGATGTGCCGTCACATTAGTTACATTAATAAAAAATTATTTAGTAGCCTATATCCTTGCGTTGTTTTTGAATAAATAAATCAAGTGTAAAATACATTTCAGAGAAAGTTTTTCTCAATCTTTTCCACTGGCCAAAGAGTATTTTTAATTGATTTATATTTTTAATGGAAACAGATAGACCTTGTATAGTGCATTATTTGCACAAAACTATTTTCTCAGACAATCTGCTATTATCATGATGATAAGCAATTATCTCTGTAGTTAAAACATTAAAACACAGCATGCCAGAGGAAAAGTGTTTGAAAGCATTGCATCCACAGCAAATATTTCTATTTATTGAACATACATTTTTTTTGTAACTTCTCAGTAATGATTTCATGTACTTTCATATACAAGTGTCTAACTCCATTAATCAGAATGGCATATTTAATCTAAATGTTTATATCAGAAGTAAAACATAGTTTTAATTATTTAAACTGTTATTGTGAACATATTTCACAGAACACTGTATTTATGATTATAATGAAGATTTACGGTTTTAGATAGGCTGCGTCAGTTTCACTTAAGAACAAAGGGATGGATATTTAACAAAGGGATGGACATTTAAAAAGGGATGGATGTTTGCTTCATGTGATAGGCTTGGTGAGTGAAATTATATTTGTATTATCTTTCTGTATACTGTATGTATAATTTTCTTTAGATTTTCGATCTAAAAGTGACCAAAAAGACATTTAGCTCCAGCTCACCATCGGTGTCGCCAAACTGCTCCGTCTTCAAAACGTGCGTATAGATCACAACCTTTGCGTGGAAACTGGCGTACGTACGTTTCCAGCCCCGTTTTGTGCGTACGCACGCTTTATAAATGAGACCCCAGATTTGTAAGATATAAACTTTTATTTTATTTTTTATTCTGATGCAGAAACAAGCTTCTATAGCATTCAATTATAATATTGAAAATAAAAATGATTATTATGCATTTTTAACCCAAAGTCTTGTTGGTTCAATCAAGTAAGACAAGCTCAAGGTGGCTTTATAATAAGAATATAACACTGAAACATTAGTCATAAGGAACGAAAAATAATCATGGCTAAAATTTCTTTCTCTTTATTTGTCACACTAGAATTGGAAGGTCAAGCTAAGCTCATTGCATTGTGGAATAAAGTATTTCAAATGTACTAGGTCATCCATGTTTTCACTTCAGAAATAGTGTGTTCACCTTCATTTGAATGTTAGTGTGACCAACAATTTAATTAATTATCCCAGACAGCAACATAGTGTCGGCCAACATCTTGTACACGTGGATTCCACAAGGCCCGGATCTGGGCCGACACTATGTTGTTGTCTAGGATGGCTTTATTTTAGGATACAGTATTATGCCGAAAGTGTGTCATGTACAAATACATCATGGTTGTATGAAGGTATTTGTGGTGAACTCACATTGTCCACAACCGAAATGTCACACCCCGGCTGCTCCAGCAGCAAGGACACGATCTCAGCTCGACCGTGTTCACTTGCACACATCAGAGCAGTGGAGCCCTCGTCATCTTGGATGTTCACGTTTGCACCACACTCAAGCAGCGCTCGCACCATCTCCTGCCGCCCATGACTCACGGCCAGCATCAAAGCCGTCTGTCCTGCCTAACCACACACAGGCCGAAAGATAAGAGCGTTTAACTATAGGGTTTTTTGTCTGGCAATCAATGCATCCCTTTCATTAACTTACACTCTAAAAATGCAGTAATCTGTTTTTTTTTGTTGTTTTTTTTACTCTTTTTATGCACAAAAACTGATATATAGTAGCCCCTAAAGATTATAAGCCAGACTGAATGTAATATCTGAATTTCATTGCATTACATACAATATATCAAACCAAGTGGCAAATGTTCCAAATCTGCAAATGTTCTCAGAACTTAGCTTTTCTGAGCCATTTTGCCTGTGATTAACTTTCTTTAAAATGAATTCCACTTGTTTTTTTGTTTTTTTTTATCTAATGAAATGACAATGACATCTATACATTTTTAAGTGTATAAGACTTGAGAGTCCAAACTGTTGCCTGATATCAGAAAAAACTTTTGAATGGCACACTACCGTTTGAAAGTTTGGGGTTGGTACGCTTTTTTAAAGTTTTTGAAAGAAGTCTCTTATGCTCATCAATGCTGCATTTGTTTGTTCAAACATATAGTAGTATTGTGAAATATAAAATATGTTTTAATATATTGTAAAATGTAATTTATTCCTGTTAAGGCAAAGCAGAATTTTTCAGTCTTCAGTAAATGATCCATTCAGAAATCATTCTAATATGCTGATTTGATGCTTAAAAAGCATTTCTTATTATTATCAATGCTGAAAACATTTGTGCTGCTTTTATTTGTGTGGAAACATTAGGATGCTTTGCAGAATAGAAAGTTCAGAAGTACAGTATTTACTGAAATAGAAATCTTTTTAAACATGTCTTTACTGTCACTTTTGATCAATTAAATAAAAGTATTAATATCCTAAAAACAAAATCTTATTGACCCCAAACTTTTCAACGGTTGTGTACATGTATTTCATATTGAATGGAGAGCATTCTGTTACCGTTTTATCTCCTTTAGCAAATCTTTCCACCAAATGAGTTTAGAAATCTACAAAAATGGAAGCCGGCCACTTCAAAAATAAAAGTTCAAAAAAGGGGTTTTCAAAGTGATGCCATAGAAGAACCATTTTAGGCTCCCCAAATCTTTCAGTGAATAGTCCTTAAAAGAACATTTTCATATTCTGAAGAACCTTTTTCCACTAAAAAACAACCTTTCTGCAATGGAAAGAATCCATGGATTCTAGATTCTTAATGGAACAATAGTTAAACCCAATAATAAACCTTCATTTTTAGGAACGTAACTTGAAATGTCATTCTCAAATTAGCAGAGGATATAATGGCAGATGAATATCTAATTAACCGGGTGACTTACTTGGCTCGCCTTGGCATTGACGTTGCCCAGACGGAAGAGTTTCTGGACGACTGCCATGTCGTCCTCTTCCTTCACCGCTGAAAGGGCTGCCAGCATCACAGCTGTATATCCGGCTTTATTCTGCTGATCAACATTGCACATGCCTGCACATGAACACACACAAAGCTGAATATGCATTGAAGTTGCCTGTATTGTAACAATGTCCCAAACATTGGACAACTCAGAACAGCTCAATACCATATAGTGTATAAAGATGCTAAAAGATTATGTGTATTTCAGTTATCTTTAGTCAGATGCATTTACTTTATTACAGTGCCAAAGATGCTATCAATTGAAACTGTGTCTGTAAAGGTGTGAACCAAAAAGCCCATACAAGACGGTATGGCCCATAGAAACTGATAGGTGAATCAATTGACCTATACCGCCAGACAGTACGTCCAAATGGCCCATAGAATTAGAATATCTAATGGGTGTATTGCAGGATCTCCTGTGGAAGGTCCTAACAGCATTGTATCTATTGTTTGTAGCAGGTATAAAGTTCTAGCCTGGTTAAAACCAGACCATTCTCAGTTGTAACTAAGTTATGGTCTGGCAAAGCGTCATAGACAAATCATTTCCAGAGGGGCGTCACCAACAGACGTCGCGGATAGACCTAAACCCAATCAGAGCGATGAAGGAGATGACATATGCAGAGCGGGGGGAGAAACATCTCCGAGTGTTGTTCTTTGCTCGGTTTTTAACAAAAAGGAAACGTTCAAATCGCTTAAAACAGACGCGATAGCTGATTCGAACGGGTGATGTTCGACGGCGGCATCCATCTTTGTAATGTAGGCTACAAAATCTGCTTCAAAATCCCAGCGCTGTCGTCATAATGTAAAGCCCACCCCAACGTTTCTGATTGGTGCCTCGATTTGGACGGATTGGAAATGGGTTTGAATGAGCTCTTTGCCAGACTAACTTTCAGAGCAAATCTAAATTTGCCGGAAGTTGTCTGGGTTTTCCCAGACTAATAAAGTTCAGTTCCACAGACAGAACTTTGGGTTAAGATTCTTCGAAGGCCAACATGCTAACATTGTTAACACATCGATTTTTTGAACTATCTCTTTATCATTATCATTATAGTTATTGTCCTTGGCACAAACGGGCCTTTATTCAACTGTGCTAGCTGTATATTTTAAGGACACCAAAAGTTGATGAATTCTCAAACTTACATTAATTTACTACATTACTTCCTTTGCAAAAGAATGAATTCAGGAACACTATTAGGTACTGGTTGTTATAATCTCATGTTATTCTGAAAAAAATTCTATTAACCTGTGTCAAGCAGCAAGTCCACAACAGTGAAGTTGGAATGGGAGACGCTGTAGTGTAAAGCAGTGTTGCCGTTGCCGTCGGTCATGTTGACTATGTGTTCCAGAAGGATGGGGGAGACCTCTGAGAAAGCCATCAGGTAATTTGACACACGTAATGGCTGGATCATCTTTGCACTGGAAACTCGGAACCACTCCAGCTGAACGGTATGAGTGCTGGACAACTGTGGACGTTAACAAAGCAACAATAAACTTAATAGTTCATTGTCAAGTTTGACTGGAATGAATTGATTCGTTTGGAATGATAACCACAATGTGAATAAAATGTAATATGTGTAATTTGATCCTACCACTTCTTTACTCTTCACTGTTTTGGCTCCATCATTAAGGTGGTTCTTCACAATTAGACAAGCCTCACGCATTTTGGCACTTAGTTCAAACCTGTAAGATAATGTCCATTTAGTATATACTATATATAGACATATATATATACACTCACCGGCCACTTTATTAGGTACACCTGTCCAACTGCTCGTTAACACTTAATTTCTAAGCAGCCAATCACATGGCGGCAACTCAGTGCATTTAGGCATGTAGACATGGTCAAGACAATCTCCTGCAGTTCAAACCGAGCATCAGTATGGGGAAGAAAGTTGATTTGAGTGACTTTGAACGTGGCATGATTGTTGGTGCCAGAAGGGCTGGTCTGAGTATTTCAGAAACTGCTAATCTACTGGGATTTTCACGCACAACCATCTCTAGGGTTTACAGAGAATGGTCCGAAAAAGAAAAAACATCCAGTGAGCGGCAGTTCTGTGGGCGGAAATGCCTTGTTGATGCCAGAGGTCAGAGGAGAATGGCCAGACTGGTTCGAGCTGATAGAAGGGCAACAGTGACTGAAATAACCACTCGTTACAACCGAGGTATGCAGCAAAGCATTTGTGAAGCCACAACACGCACAACCTTGAGGCGGATGGGCTACAACAGCAGAAGACTCCACCGGGTACCACTCATCTCCACTACAAATAGGAAAAAGAGGCTACAATTTGCAAGAGCTCACCAAAATTGAACAGTTGAAGACTGGAAAAATGTTGCCTGGTCTGATGAGTCTCGATTTCTGTTGAGACATTCAGATGTTAGAGTCAGAATTTGGCGTAAACAGAATGAGAACATGGAACCATCATGCCTTGTTACCACTGTGCAGGCTGGTGGTGGTGGTGTAATGGTGTGGGGGATGTTTTCCTGGCACACTTTAGGCCCCTTAGTGCCAATTGGGCATCGTTTAAATGCCACGGCCTACCTGAGCATTGTTTCTGACCATGTCCATCCCTTTATGGCCACCATGTACCCATCCTCTGATGGCTACTTCCACCATGTCACAAAGCTCTAATCATTTCAAATTGGTTTCTTGAACATGACAATGAGTTCACTGTACTAAAATGGCCTCCACAGTCACCAGATCTCAACCCAATAGAGCATCTTTGGGATGTGGTGGAACGGGAGATTCGCATCATGGATGTGCAGCCGACAAATCTGCGGCAACTGTGTGATGCCATCATGTCAATATGGACCAAACTCCCTGAGGAATGCTTCCAGCACCTTGTTGAATCTATGCCACGAAGAATTGAGGCAGTTCTGAAGGCAAAAGGGGGTCCAACCCGTTACTAGCATGGGGTACCTAATAAAGTGGCCGGTGAGTGTATATATATATATATATGTCTATACATAGGCTATAGGGTTTCTCTGAAATTGCTTACTGCACATTTAAGACAAACTACTTTTTTATTGATATTTTTTGCTATTGAATTAAGTATATTTCTTCATCCACCATCTTGGATATAAAAAATAAAATCACTGAATTCAACATAAAACATTCTTAAATTGCTTTTTTCAGGACACATTTGATGCTCATTACTTTTTTTTAAATTGCCAATAGGCTTTAATTATTTCATAGCACTGACTGATGATTAAAAAAAAATCTGTAGTAAAAGATGAGTCATCAATATTTTAGGACCTCGTTTTTTTGCTTAAAATTAATTTTTAGGAGTGAGCTAGCAAAGAGATTAATTTAAAGCCGAGACATGTGGACTAGACAAGGGGGTAATCCATCGACCGGAAGTTGAAGCCGGCCGGGTGCCGCCATCTTGTAGCAGAACTTCACTTGCGTTAGCATTTCCATTGACTCCCATTCATTTTGGCGTCACTTTGACAGCGAATAACTTTACATCTGAGGCGTTTAAAGACTCCATTTGTCCATTATTTATTTCTAAAGAAACACGACAATGTATAAAAGGCTCCATTACTTTGTATCTTACGTTTTGGCCCCGTAGAAGCAGTTTTTTAAAAACTAGGCTAACGATTGCGTCATAACACGCGACTCTCTGGCGCACAGTAGAGAAAATTACCGTATAGACAGAAGTAGAAACTCACGCGCAATCGGGGGGACGTGGAGGCATAAAGTCAAGGGAGAAGCCCATAGAGAGTTGTAAAGTTGCTCCTGCTGCGAGCTCATGGACAGCTAATACTCACGATCTCCGGCTCTGCAAGTTTCGGAAGGGAATGATTCAGATTCCTCTTTGCACAGCCACTAGAATATTTACGTCTGTCAGACAGGTTGCTCACGTCATTAAGCTTAGTTTGAGTCGGTTTGAGTCTGCGCGTCAGAAACGGAAGTGCTCAAAAATCGCTAAAAATGGGCTTCAACTGTCTCAACCGAGTTCCAATGAGATAGATCTGTCCATTTCTTATACTGTCTATGGGACTAGAAGACAAAACTGTTTTGTGATATGTGACATCTCTGTCATCACAAAAATCTACATGAACTTACTTTTCCTTCACTTTGTCTGCCTGATCCTTTAAATCTTCAGTCCCAGCTGGCATGTTTTCATCACTATCAGTTTCATCCACATTTATATTCATCTCTTCCTCAGATGTATCCTCTAGAGCTGCCTCTTCTTCCACGCTGCTGTCTGAACATGCACCAGCCTCACTTCCATCAGAGGAACTCTCTTCATCCTCTTCTTCATCTTCTTCACTAGAGGTCGACTCATACCTGCAAGAATTTAGGTGGAGAAATTCAGTATAGTATCATCAAGCTGGAAGAGCCAAGTTGAAAGCCAATGATATACATCCATTTGTTACTTGGCATAATAATTCTTTATTATAATTCATAAAAGTAATTGTCTTTTATCATATTGCTATTGTTGCCATTTTATAAAAGCAATAAGCCGTGAGATGCAGTCGGTGACTTTGATGTTATTATAGTAAAGGCATTTTGTATCATGCCTAACAATATTTCATTATTTAAAAATCTGTTCCAGCAACTCACCCTCCATTTAGAATTCCAACGAACTTCAAGCTCTTTTTGCCACCACTGGAAGCTGCACCAGCACCACTCCCATCCTTCCTCTTCATGATAGATTTCAGAGGGCCTGCAACTTTATTGCAAAGAAATCACTCTTGAAGGGGTTTTCCAGATTTATTTAAATCAACTAGAAACATTCCCAATACTTTTGAGATAAATGATATTACACAAGTAATAAATGTATGGTTGGATTTGATTTTATCCATTCTAAATTGACTGGATTGTGCCGTGACTTGTTGTGATTGTGATTGTGATTACATGAATGCCAAGAGGCTTTAAATTATTGCTGTTTATTACTGCGTTAACTACTGGCAACATGTTAGAGAGGCTGCATTACCTACAACAGTACAGTAGCACTGCAAAAGCGGAGCAATTATCTTAACAAGGCAATTTTTTTTCTTTGGAATAACTGTGCATATGAACATAAACAAGCTTTAAGAAATTAAAAAATTCTGTTGACATTTAAAAATAACAATGCTTACTCTCTGCAGAAGTTGTCTGTTCTTCACTGTCTTGTGTATCAGTGACGTAGAGACATTCCCACTGGATACCAATGCTTACTAACTCCACAGTTTTTTCCTTTGAAGATTCCACAGGATCTGTTTGAATGCTTTGGTCATTTTTTGAAATGTACTCCGGGTCAGTCACATCTGGAAACAACACTCCGACTGAACAAACTTCAGCAGGACATGTTTGCATTTGGGTATTGACTGTCTCTGGTTTTGCTATTGTCTCTTTGTCCAACATAATCTTGGACGTCCTCTCAAGTTCCTGAGCCCTTAAAGTTTCAAGATCTTGGCTAGTCTGAGTTAATCTTGTCTCAAGAACCTGGATTGACTCTTGTTGAAATTTGATTGTGTGTTGCAGGGTATCAATTTCTTGTTCTGTCTCACTTTTTAGCCCTAGAAATGACTCTGTTACCCAGACTGCCACATCTTCTGTATCCACTCCAGTCTGAATTCCCTCATCATGCATGACAGTAGCCTCAGTCGCAATAGCTGCATGACAAACATCAATAGTAGTTTCGACAGCAGCATCCTTGAGTGCTTGACGATTGAAGACTACCACAGTCTCAAGAGGAATGTCACTACCTACTGCTATGGATATTTTTTCTACAGGAGAGCTGGTTTGCTTGTTATCTTGTTCATCACTTTTGCTTTCTGGCCTTTTATTCCAAAGGGAAGGCGATGGTAGGGATCCTGGTTTAAAGGCTTCGACTACTGCATCAGTGGAGACTTGTAGTTTGAGCGTTGAATCAAGTTCTTCTGTTTTCTTTCGAAGTTCCAGAGCCAACCTTTCCTTTTCTGCACGGAGCATGGCAACTTCTCTTTCTAGAGCTGCTACTCCTTTCACTCTCTCTTCCATCTCTCTCAGCTGCCGAAGGGCTGTGGCCATCTGTTCCCGCACTGTCTGAAGCTGCACAGGAGGCAAAGTTCCTGAGTTGGAGGCTGGAGTGCTCCTTCCAGATGTCTGAGGACTTGCTCTGGTCCAGATCCCAGAAAGGGGGGTCTGCACAACAGGGGATATCTGTAGCAAGTGAGCATCTGAAGCAAGCTGGGTAGAAGCTACGGAGAAGTCCCTATTAGATCCACTGGCTTTGGAACTCACTTTGGAAAGGTCGGACAAATTGGAGCCTAAACCATTTGAAAACTGACTCTGCTCCTGTTGCAGACGGAGGCTAGTTTCAAGAAGTGTTCTCTCTACCCTTGGGTTGCGTGGTGGAGGTGGTGGTGGCACTTTGGACCAAGTAGTTTGACTGGGACTGACAACTGGTAATGGAGAAAGTGGTTGGGATTTACTAGGTGATGTAATTGTGCTCTGGAGAAAAGGTTGGTTAGTCTGGCCATTCTCACTGGTTGTTGAGGAAAGGGATTCAGTGGAGGTCCAGCCACTGGTCCGACCCCCAATACCCAAATTCCGCTGGTGCCCACGGTCACCCCGAGATCCCCTCCGAGGGTTCACATTAGCTCTACGAATGCTGTGTCCACTCTCGATTTCTTCAACATACTTGAGAAAATCAAGGTCCAGCTGGAATCCGTAGGGTGTCTGTACAGAATAGGAGCCACCTTGATCTGTTTCTTCCTCAGTAGAGCAATGAAAAGGGGCACTCAGATCTGCAATGCAAACATAGCAGATGCTTAGTTAATCTTGAAACAGTACTATCTATCGAGAGCAGCAAAACATGTACTTACTTGGCAGTTTGGAGGTTATGTGCACCGATTGGGTCATTTTAGGGAGCCTTCTGTTGCCCCTCCAAAAGACAAATCAGCACACCTGCAAACAACAGACAAAATTGACGTGCCATAGAAACATCAGACTAATGAAAAATAGATTGGGAGATGCAGAGCTGGTGACCTGCAACTGAACCTAAAAGCATCTCTAGACTGTTTGATTCTACAACATGCTTTTGATCCATATATGTAAGGGTTGAGGCAATGGTAGGTCCTAGATTGTCATAATTGACATGGGCTGATAGGTAATGGTGTCGATGCATGTTGCATTGCATGTTTATTCAGTCACAGCAACGATGGATAAGCCAAGATGACATTTTCTAGCTGAAACATGCTCTGGTCTTACATCATTGTAATAGTTGTTTTTAGACTGCACACATAGCCCTGAGGTTTTTGTGATCATCTGAATATTGTGACTAGCTCTCCAGCGAATCATTCATTTCAAAACAAGATTTGGCTGAGAAAAAATACTGCTTGTAACAAGTAAATTGTGTGCCTTATTGTATACCATGATCTTTTTATTTTTGTAGTATAATGGGTTATGCATTACTGTTAACACTTAGATGGCCTTTGTGCTGTTGTATGTATAGTGTTTCATTGCTTATGTTCCCAGACATTTTATAGAAAAATTATGCATTGTTCTGCACACCTGCTTTTCTCTTTCTCTACTGTTCATTTTCTTTTTTTGCTCTGTTTAATATTCTGTTTTAAATTACAAAATTGTAATTGTAGTATTGCACACTTGTAGCGTTATTCATTTCGCTGACTGATAAATTGCTTGTCTTTTTCTTAATTTCTTATTTTTATACAAATTCATCTGCAAAATAAATAAATGTGTAATTTTGTTACTTTAAACTCATTTAATGTACTATAATAATTTATCAAGTTTGACCAATTTTGTACTTCATTCTTGATTATGATTGTAAATATCATTATACAACCCCATATAAAGCCAAATAACTTAATTACTTAATTACTTAGCACTGTTTTCAGACTAGATGATACGCAATGAAATTGAAAAAGTATAAAATTCTGCTGTTCAGTGCATCAACAGAATTAGAATAAAATATTGTTGAGAGGGAATACAGAGGTTTTCTTTGGGCATATTACCAAGGTAATACTACAAATTATATTATTAACTTGACACTTTTAGTGAAATCTTGACTTTACAATGTCATAGTGCTCAGTATGTCATCATAGTATGTCACCCTTTTAGTTTAAAGGTACAGTAAGCAATTTTTGAGAAACGCTGTTGATATTTAAAATCACCTAAACAAACACACCCCTACTCAAAAGGATCATACGTCTATCTTGATAGCTCTGCTCCCAAATTCACTAATCACGACCACCATGTAGCACAGGCACCTCCTTCCTTATGAGTGTATACACCCCTTACTGCTGATTTGCTACAAGTGTGTTTTGGTGCTCGTTCCGATCCACTTTCAGTGAAGCTGAGCTGACATGAACAAAACCCGATGATCATATTTTCCAGCATGATATAAGAATGATAAACAGCATTTTGCATCTGAATGAAGAAAATATGACTTATTGTACAAAGAAGTTCACTGCTCAATGTCTTAAATTTGCTTCTTTGATCAGTGACCTTAGAGCATAATCTTAAATATTTCTCATTCATTAATTATTTCTGAGTTTTCATTGTGATCCCGACAGTAATTATTACCATCCAATATATTGTATCGCTATATCATGTCACCATTACATTAATTTGATAAGATTTCAATAAATAACACAACCCTCACATATTGATATTAACTCATATTCTGCACATCCTTTAGGATGCAAAATTTCAATACCAACAGACAGAGCAGGCCATGGAAATATTAAAGCACACGCGCACACACACACACACACACACACACACACACACACACACACACACACACACACACTCACACACTGTCCCTGACAGAGGAGGGGGAAGCATGTTACACATAACTGTTTTCACAGAGCCCCAGGCACATTCCACCAGACACTTCCTATTTCACACAGTGCTAATATGACCAGGCTCGGACATGTCATTCAAGCACAAAGACTCCACAAAGGCAGCAAACAGCTTGAATGCAGGATATAATGAGCACACAAAAAAAAAAACAGAAGCACTACACTGGTTAAAGTGGTGCTGGCAAAGGCTGCGTCTAATTAAAAGCATACTGAGTACCGTTTGATCACATTTAACAGGCCAACGCTGTTTTTTCCACTGACTGAGCAAAGTAACGGTACCATGTGGAGACTGAACCCGAATGCTTCAATATGTTTTGCATTGGACAAACTGACTGTATCTGGCGCACTGCAGCATGTTGTGCATGCAGCTGACCAGGTTTCCAGTCCCTGCAACTACTACAGTCTAGCCTGTCAACTCAAAGCGTGTTCTCTTGATTTGCAGCTTGCAGGACTTCCCCGTCCCTCCAGCTGTGAGCTGAGAGGTATCACTGTGTTTGCCTGCTGGTAACAGCCTAATTACAAGGCAAGAGGGGAAAAACACATTCCTGTCTAACTCCAGCGCCTCTTAACCAGCATGCTACAAACATGCCAGGCTCACAAAAACAAAAGCGTATCCAGCATTAAATTTGACAAAGAACTGAACATTTACACTACAAGATGAAAGTTTGGACACACCTACCATTTTTTGTTATTATGTTTTTCCACATTTTGGAGGGGAAAAATCCACATTTTGGAAACATCACGACTACAAAATAACACAAATGGAAGTATGGAAATTATGTATCGACTAATTTAAGCTTCTCCGAAGTCGCCATCCCCAGATTCCAGTTCGGGACACTTGGACATTGATCCAAATTCATGAGTTAATTCCTGGGAAGCATTCTGAAGATTATAAAAGAAGTTTCCACGTATGCTGGACACTTGTTTATATTTGTCCACAACCCTATTTTAAGTGAGAAATCTTTCGATTTTTAAGAAGACGAGAAGCATAAGCTCAATCGAGTTCAAACGTTTGACTGTTTATCATCTATGTCAGTGCTTGTCAAGTCAAATCAGAAGAAATCTGTGTTCTAACCCTGTCACTTTCATTCAGTTCTGGTCCATAAAAAAATAAGAGCTTTGTGAATAACATTCAACACTTTGAACATGGGGACAGTGACTTCTCAGAGCAGGCAAATAACTGGAACAAATCTTTCACTGTGGCGTTGTCTGAATGGGAGTCATGTTTTGAAAGTGACCTCATAGCACTCCCTCCCGTTTTCCTGCAGAGGAAGCAGGAGGTCTCTATTCCCATTATATGTTATGTGAACTCTGCAGGCTTGGCAAGGTCACATCTTACTTATAACAGGGCCATTTTTATGAGTGGGCAGTCCCATAAAAATATTTGACAGAGCCTTCTGACGCCAGCCTTAAAGCACTGTCAGGAAACTGTGTCCAATCACATGACTTTTAGGAATAGTACACCAAACAATTGTCATCATTTATGCACATTCAAGTTGTTTGAAACCCATGTGACTTCCCTCAATAGAACACAAAATTAGATATTTAGCAGAATGCCCAGGCTTCTCCTTTCCATATAATGGAATCATAGTTACCAGAGGTTTTCAAGCCCCAAAAAAGAAACCACCATAAATGTAGTCAAATGTACAACTTGTGCGCTATATTTCATATATTCTGAAGCAATATGATGGGAATAGATAGATGGGAATAGTTAGAAATACAGGCCATTATACTATGTTTCAGTAAATTACTTCAATTTTGTTGTTTATTGGCTCTCAACCTCATGGGTTCTTGCGTGTCACACGCTCACATTTGAGCTTCTGTCTTTACCACATTTGATGTGCTCTATGTGTGTTAATCATTGTTTAGATGTGAATTAAATCTGTTCACCATATAAAGCAATCATATATCTTCACAAGGCTTGGATTAATCTGCTCGATTCATATGGATTAGTTTTACAATGACCTTTTTGTATCGCCAAAGTTTTGGTTGCGTGGACTTTCAGTTGAAGAACAGAAACTTCTCTTTAAATGATGACACAATTTTCATTTTGAGTGAACTAAGAAGACTTGGAATATAGAGCACATTTATATGGAAACATGATTATTTTAGGGCATTTGTCATTTTGGAGCTCTGTAATTGTTTTATGTAAAAGCATTCTGCTAAATATCTCTTTTTTTGTTCAACATATGAAAATTATTAATCTTTGGAATTATTGTACAGTACTTCATAGTGCCCTTTGTCTTCATGAGGTTAGAGTCTTCATTTTTGGGTGGACTGTTCTTTTAAGCTACAGAAAATTGCATTATTGTTTTACCAGTGTCCCAGCCTGCGTAGCAACACAGCTGCTCTTTCCTGAAGGGAAGTGGGCCTGACAAGACCCCAGGGTCTCCTGGAAAAGCACCCATTGTCTTTCAGGACAGTGAGAGACATTGCTAGACATTTGATTAATATAGCGAAAGCTGCTTCCTCAAAGACCAGGCTAGGAAAAATAAACAAGGAAACGAAACCAGTGCAAATGGTCTAAAAACGACATCCCTAGTGAAATTAGCTAATTTTTCAGGATACAAAAGCTAATGTTTAAACTTTGTAGATGCTCCAGGAAATAAAATTTTATTTTAAAGACCAAAACATGTTATTCAGTGAACATCAATCACATTTATCATGCATATGTGCACGTCTAACAAACTTCACTCAACGTGAATTGGCTTTGAAGATGGCTGAATCCTTCTACTGTAATCTCATATCAGTTCACATCTATGAAAAAAAATATTGATTAAATGATAATAGGGTTACATTTTTACTAGTCTCAGCGTCAAACGGCACACCCAAAGTCTGTTAACTGAACATCTGACTCATATTGCACACAAAAAAAGCACACAAAGAAATAGAAATAGTTAGTTAAAAAAACTGCCAGTTCAAAACGGATTAGTTTCGAGGGGTCAATGCGCGCCATTTACAATTTAGAAATGTCGTTTTAACCAAACATTTGCAAGTTGTTGCTACAATAAACACTTTTGAAATACAGCTAATCGCTAGATTTGCCAGTTTGAGATTCGTGGCATCAAATATTTTAAAAAG